CCAGATGGCGTTGGGGTCGAGTTATTACTAAAAATCGTGTTTATGGTCCGATTCGTCTCATATTCGAGATATGTATTGACAATAGGAAAAACAATACCATTTCAAACAAAAAGAGCCGCCAGATGGCGTTGGGGTCGAGTTATTACTAAAAATCGTGTTTATGGTCCGATTCGTCTCATATTCGAGATATGTATTGACAATAGGAAAAACAATACCATTTCAAACAAAAAGAGCCGCCAGATGGCGTTGGGGTCGAGTTATTACTAAAAATCGTGTTTATGGTCCGATTCGTCTCATATTCGAGATATGTATTGACAATAGGAAAAACAATATCATTGCAAAAAGGAGCCGCCTGGTGGCGTTGGAGTCGAGTTATTACTAAAAATCGTGTTTATGATCCGATTTTCCTCAGATTCAAAATATGTATTGATAACAGGAAAAAGAATTCTTTCGAAAAAAAATTGCCGCCAGGTGGAGCTGAAATTGAGTTACATATATATATGTAACTAAAAATCTTATTTATGCTCGAATTTATTTCATTATCGAAATATATGAATTCGCATATCGATGGTCCTCTGCAATAATGACACAACTCAAAATTCAAAAAATCAAATCCCTTATTACTATTAGGATGCTCATGTTTCTAATCCTTGGCTAACCCATGTCTAATTCTAACTAAAGTAAGTAGTAAAGATTATACATGAATAAGACAACGATTAAGGACATGAGCCGCCCGCTTTGGTGTAGTGGTAAGTTGTGCGCGCTTTCACTCATCAGCACCTTGGTTCAAGCCCTGGTCAAAGCAACATCGCAAAAAATATGCAAAAAGGATTTTTTTTTTAACAGCGGTCGTCCCTCGGCAGGCAATGGCAAACCTCCGANGGACATGAGCCGCCCGCTTTGGTGTAGTGGTAAGTTGTGCGCGCTTTCACTCATCAGCACCTTGGTTCAAGCCCTGGTCAAAGCAACATCGCAAAAAATATGCAAAAAGGATTTTTTTTTTAACAGCGGTCGTCCCTCGGCAGGCAATGGCAAACCTCCGAGTGTATTTCTGCCATGAAAAACAGCTTCTCATAAAAATACAATCGCCGTTCGGAGTCGGCGTAAAACTGTAGGTCCCTCCGCTTTGTGTGACAACATCAAGGCGCACGCCACAAGTCGGAGGAGAAGCTCGGTCAAACACTAGCATATGTGTAAGCGCCAATCCATTATTATTAAAGACATGAGCCACCTAACAATAGTACGAGTTTTTATTTTTGAATTGTGTCGTTATTGTAGAGGACCATCGATATATTTATGACAGGAAAAGATACATATGTATGCATACTTTTGCAAAAAAACTGAAATTCAGTCGGAAACTGCCGTTTACGAACAGCTGTTCCTTATCTATATATAGTATATAAATGGTATGAAAAATGTATAGTAATTCATCAATTGAGAACGGCTGGGCCGATTTGGCTCAATTTTTTTTGGCTGTTCGTAATTGCCAGGAAAACGTTTTTACGAAGAAAATTTTGGGAAAGCCCTCCGGAAAAGTCGGAAAATTGGGAAAAACGAAGATTGACTTTTGGTATGGAATTTTGTGTGCATTTGTTTCGGGATGGCTTTTCGAATGGCAAAATAGAAAATTCTTAATGGAAAACTCGGAAAATTCCGGAAGAACGCGAAAAATTTTAATTTTTTTTTCGACAAAATTTTGCATTTTGTCGCATGATTTGATGATTTTGGATGATGAGAAGGTGGAGAATTCGTTGTGATGCTTGGAAAATTTCAGATTGTGAAATTCATTGTGAGCATGAATCAATTGGGAACAATTTTCTCCTGCACAAAGTTTTAATTTTTCCGATAGGTGGTGCACGGGTTATGGTCGGATTTGGAAAATACATTCGGTGCATACACATAAATAAACCTGCCAGAAATAGACCCGTTAGGTGCGTCAAAAGTCGAGTTATGGCAAATTCAGTTCCATGCAAAATGTTTTCTTATATATCTACATATACTAATTATATGAAGTCCCTTTTTTGTAACAGGTAATCTCGCGAACGGCAGGTCCGGCTTTCATGAAATTTTGTTTATAAATGTCAAAGGGAAAAAATTTACTTTTTTCCGGAAGGTGGACCAGGGAACAATATATTCGAAAAAATCTTATTTATGGTCCGATTTGCTTAAAATTTGGTACGTAGGTAGCCAACACATTTCAAGTTCGTGTGACTTATGGTTCCAAAGTTATAGCTGATAAAAAATTCCAGGCCAATGGGATGTGCCACGTTCCCCCTTAACAAACTATTTTATATATACCCTCCTACAAGCACCTACCATTGATATGTCTGCATACCAAACTTCAAGTTCGAGTGATTAGTGGTTCCGAAGTTATAGCTGATAAAAAATTCCACACCTATGGGATGTGCCACACCCCCTTTTACAAACTCGCTTATACATTCCCTCCTATAAGCACATACCATTGATATGTCTGCATACCAAATTTCAATTTCGTGGGACTTATGGTTCCGAAGTTATAGCTGATAAAAAATTCCACACCTATGGGATGTGCCACACCCCCTTTTACAAACTCGCTTATACATTCCCTCCTATAAGCACATACCATTGATATGTCTGCATACCAAATTTCAATTTCGTGGGACTTATGGTTCCGAAGTTATTTTTGAAAAAAATTCCACGCCTATGGGATGTGCCACGCCCCCTTTTACAAACTCGTTTATACATTCGCTGCTATAAGCACCTACCATTTGTATGCCTGCATACCAAATTTCAAGTTCATGTGACTTATGGTCTGGAAGTTATGGCTGATTAAATTTTTCACGCCTATGGGAGGTACCACGCCCCCTTGTCGGATCCCAATTTTTTTCACCCTATTATAGGCCTAGGTGTCATGGCAATACTCTGTCAAAATTTTGTTCGATTCTGTCCGTCCGTTTAGACTGCAACCTGGCACATACACACATACATACATATATACATACTTTCACAAATATATAGTAGATATAGACATTGCCTCTCTTTACTGAATTCGGGGAATTACCGAGCTTTGTTTATTGTAGAGATTACGTTTTTTATTTGGCCTTGGTTATAATGGACAAAAACCGATATTTTTGTCCATTATAGGCGGAGTCCGTTATATCCGGGTCTATTTTAACTGAGTTTTTTCATATGTTTGAATTAGGACTTGACAAATAGGTGCATATTAACAGAATTTCCATCTTAAGCGAGTCCATTATAAATGGATTACTCTGTAGGATCCTTTCTCCCGTTAAGTGGACCAGGGACCGATCTATTCGAAAAAATCTTATTTCCGATATTGGCTATTTAACAATACTTATTACACTGGCCAACAAAAATAGATAGACTTTTTTGCGCTGATAAGTAAGTAAGTATAAAGTTTCCATCAGCTCTAGATTTTGAAAAAAACGTAATTAAAGTGTCAAAAATTCGCGGTTTTTGCAATATTTGAGAAGAAGCAAACAAAAGGCGATAGAACCTTTCACTTAGGCTTAAATTAAAGCTAGAACTCCCGGCTACTTTAAGATTTGCCGCATCAAAATCAGTATTGCCCTGTGATATCTATACTAATTATATAAAAAGAAGCTCCATATTTTTATAAGAGGTGATCTCGCGAACGGCTGTAATAATTTTTTTGAAATTTTGGACACCTACTGCAGGCTTTCGATATATTAAGGGAGCGTGGCATCTCCCATACATATCGAATTTTTCATACCGTATATCTCTGGAAGTATTTGTGGTAGAGTCCTTTCACTTGGTACTGAGATTTTGAAATCGACCCCATAGTCATGGAGAAAAGTGGGGGCTATTGGAAAAGGGGGCGTGGCGTCTTCCAAACATATTGAAACTTTTACCTATCTGTAAATATATATATACACCCACCAGAATAAGTCTCAGTACAGTGTTTTTTAATACTTGCAATCTTTTTCATAATTAAATTTTTCGTTAATTTTTTATAGAAATGGTGTTTATTCAAATTTAAGAAAATTCGACAAAAATTAACCAAAATTTTAAACTTTCAACCAAATTTTGAGTATGTAGTTTTGTATTGCACTCAATTTCAGTATAATTAAGTGCAATTTTTAAGCTACTGTTGATTCTTGAGAATTTTTTTGCTGATGATGTTGCGCATTTTCCCCGTATAACGAATGCATAATAGTTTTTTTTTATATGGGAAAAATGTTGAGGAGCGTTAGTATGTAAAAGACTTATTGTGATGGATGTAGATAATTCTTCGGTACGTGTGTCACAAATACTCAACTCCTTCTAACCGAGCGAAACGATTTTTATGAATTTTTTGTATGCATTTGAGTAGGTCCCTGTATAGTTTAGGTTCACAACTTAAAACGCCAGGAGGCGCTGGAGTCGAGTTATTACTCAATATTCGTATTTGTGATCCGATTTGACTGATATTCGACATATATATGTATTGGTAACGAAAGGGGCAATACTATTACAAAAAAAGATACGCAAGGTGGCGCTGGAGCCGATTTATTGCTAAAAATCGTAAAGTGAAGTCATTCGGAGGCACCAAGGATCAAAGTCAAATAAATTAAATTAACCAGCTTTACGGCGACTAAACAGAATAACGACAATTCTTGATGAAAGCTTACAATTGTAAGACATTAAGGTATTGGATTTCTGAGGACCAATGATACTTCCCAGTTTGGAAATTGCCACCAGCTATACTATACAGATTCAAAGACTATTCACCATCGATCGGGATGGTTCTTGCCGTAAGGACTTCTTCCCGGCATAACGCTTTCGTTAGATTATTTAAGACGGCAATGGAGGATATGCCTTCTATGGACCACAAAACCAAACGTGAACGTGAATTTCTGGCGAAAACGTTGGACCAAATGTTTCAATAAAAAATAATAATTTTGGGCAGGACGAAGTTCGCCGGGTCTGCTAGTATCTATATAAACATAGGTAAAAAAGAAAATAAAAATATCTTTTCCTCGCAATATTTAAGTACTTACTACTGTTTATATTCCGTTCGATATTGTCCAGAATTTATTTCAATAAATATGTCTTCTATGCTGATATTACTAGTTCCTTTATTTTTCGTTTTTGTACTTTGTCTCAAGTTTTGGATTCCTACTTCACTATCACCAGTCCTTTGCCGAATATCCGTTGGCCTTTGTAAACTAATTTGGAAGCGACGCTGCTGTGTTTCTAGTTCTGAAGTGGTGGCTTTCAATTTATTTATTTGGGTATGTTTATCAGCTTTTCTGCCAAAGAGTTTACTATCAGTACAAAAGCTCACGGCTTGTTGTTTACATATGTCGTCTGAAAAAAAAAAATATATTATGAAATTGTAAGATGAATAATTTTGTTGAACCCCTTAGCCCAAAAAAGCTAATATTTACTGGGTCATTGTCAGCAACGTTTTTCAAAAGTGGCCTAGAGGTCCTTTTTACGACTTTCAGGACGAAATAATTCCACAAAAAGGTTCCAAAAAATATTTAAATAAGGATCATTAAAAAAAATATGCGTCTTATGACAGGAGCTTATAATCCATATTATATATATAAAACAAAGTCGTGTTACTTACACCATTTATAACTCGAGAACGGCTGGACCGATTTCTATGATATTTGTTTTTTGAATTTGTATGCCTTATAAATAGCACAATAACTATTAAAGCAACCGCTAGGTGGCGCTGAAGTCGAGTTATTAGTAAAACCCGTATTTATGGTCCGATTCGCCTCCTATTTGAGATATATATTGACAATAGGGAAAACAATACCATTGCAAAAAAATGCGCTGCCAGGTGGCGTAGGAGTCGAGTTATTACTAAAAATCGTGTTTATGGTCCGATTCGTCTCATATTCGAATATCAATATAGGAAAAAAATACCATTGCAAAAAAAGAGCCGCCAGGTGGCGTTGGAGTCGAGTTATTACTAAAAATCGTGTTTATGGTCCGATTAGCCTCAGATTCAAAATATGTATTGATAACAGGAAAAATAATTCTTTCGAAAGAAACTAACTAACTACGAAACTATTTATCGGTGGCGCCGTATTTATGCTCGAATTTATTTCATTATCGAAATATATGAATTCACATATCGATGGTCCTCTGCAATAACGACACAACTCAAAATTCATAAAATCAAATCCCTTATTACTGTTAAGAGGCTCATGTCTCTAACACTTAGCTAACTCATGTCTAATCCTAACTAAAGTAAGTAACGGGTGATTTTTTTGAGGTTAGGATTTTCATGCATTAGTATTTGACAGATCACGTGGGATTTCAGACATGGTGTCAAAGAGAAAGATGCTCAGTATGCTTTGACATTTCATCATGAATAGACTTACTAACGAGCAACGCTTGCAAATCATTGAATTTTATTACCAAAATCAGTGTTCGGTTCGAAATGTGTTTCGCAAACCCAATTGCTGCGAACGGCGACGAATCGACATTTCACGGTCTTCAGCAACACTCTCAGAAACAGACGCAATATTCTCTTCTGTACGCACTGTACGCATTCGTGTGGTTGGTTTAATGTCCAATAAAGTAAACTGAGTGCGAAACTTGGTCACAATCGCATTAATTGTTTGCTCACTTGGTCGATTATGTAGACCATAAATCGGACGTAAAGCGAACCGAACACTGATTTTGGTAATAAAATTCAATGATTTGCAAGCGTTGCTCGTTAGTAAGTCTATTCATGATGAAATGTCAAAGCATACTGAGCATCTTTCTCTTTGACACCATGTCTGAAATCCCACGTGATCTGTCAAATACTAATGCATGAAAATCCTAACCTCAAAAAAATCACCCGTTAGTAAAGATTGCACATGAATAAGACAACGATTAAAGACATGAGCCACTTAACAATAGTACGAGTTTTTTTTTTTTGAATTTTGAATTGTGTCGTTATTGTAGAGGACCATCGATATATTTCTGACAGGAAAAGATACATGTGTCATTCCATACAATATTTACACCTCAATTTTTTTTTTTGGTGAAATATATTTTTTTACATTATTTATCGAAAAAGAAGACACCAACTTTTTTATTTCGTCATGATATTCGAAAATCTCGAAACAAAACTTCCCGAAATTTTGAACTCACGGAGAAGTATCTTTTTTGAATTGTTTGCAGTTAATAAACTATTTATCGGAAAAATCTGTTAAGGTATCAAAATGTGCGTAATTACCTCGGCTTCCCATGAGAGTGTAGGATTGATTAAAATTAAAAAAATTTGCATTAAAAAATACCATTTTTTTATTTTATATTTTTGTATTAAAATCATCATGTTTGATTTTTATTTTTTTCAACCTGAATAGTTGTCGAGCTTTATGGAGTACGCTGTAAAAATTTGATAATGGAAACACCAAAGCTGTAGAAGTTACGAGTTTTTTCATACCTGCGTACATAAAGTTTCCTCCGAAACGGCTTGACCGATCTGAATGAAATTTTTTGTGTATATTCGGTAGGTAAGGTAGGTAGGTAGGTAGGTTGTAAAGTATGTTTCATACCGCTAAGTGAAGGGGACGTGGCGCCTCCCATACAAACCGAATTTTTCATACTGCATATCTCTGGAAGTGTTCGTGGTAGAGTTCTGGAAACGTGGTATGGACATATATCAAATCAATCAAATGATCATGAAGAAAAATTGGGACTATTGGAAAAAGGGGCGTGGCACCACCCATAGAACAGAATTTTTCACACTGCATTTCTCTGGAAGTGTTCATGGTAGAGTACTGCAACTTGGTATGTATAACATATATAAAATCAATCGCAGTCATAGAAAATTTGAAGCTATTGGAAAAAGGGGCGTGGCACCTACCATGAAAACCGAATTTTTCATAGTGCATATCTCCGGAAGTGTTCATGATTGAGTACTCGAACATGGTACGGAGATATATGAAATCAATCCCATATTCTTGGAGAAAATGTAAGCTATTTTAAAAGGAGGCGTGACGCCTTTCAAACGCACTGAAGCTATTACGTATCTTTGTATGCATATACACTTGTCTAGGTTATAGAAGAAAAATGTGTCACTGAAAATCATGAACGTGAACTGTTGGTGAAAATGTTGGACACAAATGTGGTGTTCCTTTTCTTTCGTACGTGTTTATTGATATATCTGTACTGTAGTGTTTTCGGACGGTACTAGCTCTTACTGCCAATATAGGAGTATTACATATATGTGTACAAGTAAGTTCTAAAGCCACATATATGTGTATACCCTCATATGTAAGATAGAGCATGGAATGTTCATTAAAGCTATTTAATTTTTGTTTAGGAAAATGAGTTCCACTTGTTTCTACGACTTTGCGAAGGGGTCCACAAAACAAACGACCTTGATATTCCTATTTGATAGAAGCTTTCTCCCGCATTGTCAACGGTTTCTTTTAAGTAACGATACGGCTCGTATATCCGTTTTTACCAATCGCTTTATAAAGTTTTATAACTACTCCTAATTTAATATGTAAGTTAGGCATCATCATTTTTGATATGGGTATGAGAGGTTCCATGGGCGTACAAAAAGCATAATTTAGAGGAGGCTGGGATTATTTGTAATGTATATTTTATTAGAAATATTAAAATTTATAATAATTTACCTCATTGATTTTTCTTTTTTTAACTGACTTCAAAAAAGGGAGGAACATTTTTTTTTAAATGTATGTTACCGCATAACTTTAGACCACATTAACCGATTTCTATAATTACTTTTCTATCGGAAAGGTGGTGCTTCAGGGGTGGTCCCATACTAACTCGGTTTAGATCCTATCATTAGCTCATGAAGAAATTAACGGTACTTCTAAATTTGTATATGAGAATTGAAGTCGGTTGTGTTTTTTGCTTAAAAATTACTTGTTATTGTAACAATTAAGTTGTACCGAGCCCTACAAAGGAATTTATATTGCATAAAGTTTATTTTTTTATTTTTTTTAAGTTTTTGAAGAGTTAAAACAAAAACAGAGTTCAAAAAAGGAGGATTTTTTCTATTCGTCGGAATATTTTTTTATGTTTGTTGCCGCATAACCGATTTCGATATTTTTTTTTTACGGAAAGGTGGTACCTCAGAGGTGGTACCATCCTAATTTGGTTTAGATCCGATTATTGGATCATGAAGAAATGAACGGTAATCTTAAAGTTTTACGTCAGAATTGAACTCGGTTTTGTTTTGTGCTAAAAAAATTACTTATTTATTTAAACAATAATCTTCGGGGGTCTTCTGCAAATCGATAAATTGTTTCAGTGATGATTTAATTTCTGTTTTTTCTACAAAACCTCTGTGAACGCTAAGCATACACAAAACCTAAATTACAGGTACAAACTAAGTAGAAAATACTAAAAGATAATAATTCTTTTACCAATTTTTTTAAGTAAATTGCCGATATGATTGATTAAAAATCATTAAATTTTCTGTTACAATTTATTTTTTGTATAGGAAAAAAGCACCAATCAGCTGTTTATAAACATAATTTATCAGACTAACAAAAGTAAGCTGAAAAGGATCTTCACAGTTGATAAAATTATCGAGTAACAACCAGCAGTTTACCAAAACTACCGAAATTGATGTGAAGACCCCTAAAGGTTTAAATTATTGCATATATTTTTTTCAGGGACCGTAAATAGCAGTTATTTTTTTCCAACAGTTAAACTTGGCCAGATATTTTTAAGTTCGAAATAAAAGTCTTTCCGGATATTAAATAAAACGCTTATCCAAAATAAACAAATTTGGTACCAAATGAAAGAGGACTTATGTAAATAGCTTTTAAACTGAAATAACGATCGAATGCTACCACTTCTTTTTGCATTTTTTTTATAATTTAATACAAAAGATATGCATATACCTGACCCAAGGTTTGTTCTATGGTAATTAAAAAAAAATGTATTTAAATATTTTTCAATAGCTGGCCTTCTGCTGACTTTCCTCGTTTAAATATTTTAGTCTTAAAGCTATTTTTGTCCTCTTTCAGTTGATACCAAACTTGTTTAATTTGTATAAGCGGTTTGTTTATTATTAGGAAAGGCCTTTTTTCGACTTAAAAATATCTGCCCAAGTTTAGCTGTTGAAAAAAAGTAACTGTTATTTGCGGCCCCTGATTTTTTTAAAAGGAATTAATAAAGAAACTTACAAATAAACTTTGGAAGTTTACGCCCATGAGTGGTTCCCGTGCAATATTGCCTTTTTTATACCCGAGCGCATTTGTGCACAAGGTTATTATAACTTTGTTCGCATAACGGTTGTTTGTAACAGGCAAAACGAATCGAGATAGATATAGACAAATGTATAGATAAATGATCACAATGAAAAGAGAAATCGA